AGAGCTGACCTCTTTCCCAACACCTCCTATACCACTCCCTGCACCCCCCAAACACACACCCCAACAGGCTAAGCAAGAGTGGGGCCCGGACTGCGTCAGGGCTCATTCCACTCCTCCACACTCCTTCTAAAGCTCAGCATTGATCCCGTGTCCTCCAGGAGCCACGTACAGGGGGTGCAGCCACAATGCGGCTGAAGACCCTGCGTGGAGGGAGGCTGGTGGGTGACTCCTGCTGTCATCTAGGTGGAAGGAGTTGAAGATCTGGGCAGAGGAGGCAAGGATTCCAGAATCTGGAAAAGATCTAGAGAGTTTGGTGACAAAGGAAACCAAGTATTTGAAAGCCATTTATAACTTCCAAGTTTGACCCAAATTTGGGGCAGATGTGAAACTCTAGCACGATTGTCTCAAATTTCACATTTATCAAAGTTTTACAATATTTTACAATCCAGAAAAATACAAGTACTTTGAGGGTTTTTTCCTTAATGATAGAATTTTTCTTTCTACTTTTTTCCATCTTGACCATTGAAAGGGTTTGCCACACTCACATGGGGAACTCTGCGCAGTCAGTTAATGAACGGAACTTGCCCCTTACCTTGGCTCTAACAAGCACATAAGTTCCCTGTCGGTGAAACCGTTAGGACAAGTCTGGCTCGGGCAGAATGAGGGACTATCATCCTGGTGTGTTTAGTTTAATACCAGGTCGGGCTTTTCACTCCGCGCTCTTCCTCCTCTCTCCCTTCAAGCTGCCATCTGCTGAGACGTGTGGTCCCGGATCATGGAGCCCGTGTCCCCGTGCTGTCATCTACCTCACCAGCCTCAGGACCCCCCAGGCCAGCTCCACCTCTCACCACTTCACCATCTTCACTTCTGAACACAAGAAAAACCCCACCCGATCAGGGTGCGTTCTCTTTTTTATATATTGTTGAAGGCAGTATGCTAATATTTTGTTCAGGATGTTTGTGGTCCTGAGGGAAATTGGTCTGTCATTTTCTTGTCTTCTAATTCCTTTTTCTGTTCTTTGTATGAGGGTAATTCTGGCCTTATAAAATGAATTGGGATATGTTCCCTATTTTCTCAGAGTCTAAATGTGATATTATTTCCTTCTTAAATCCTTGTGGCATTTTGTCTTGTTAAGACCATATTCCTCAGCCCCTCCTGAAGTTGGAGGCCCAGACGGACTCACTGGCGAATTCTGGTCACGTATTTCTATGTCTGAAATGGTTACTTTTTACATGGATTATTATTTATTTTAAATGTTTAATTAAAAAATGACTATCACAATACTCTATTATGATTTTCTCCATAAAGCTTACTCTTACTATAACTTTATTATTATTTATTTGCACGTTTATTAATTTCTTATCTCCTTTCTGCCTTCCCCATCCTACCAGACACCCTTCTCTGCAGGTAAACTCATAAGAGCAGGAAAGGTCTCTATTATTTATCAGTCTATTCCTTGAGTCTAGAACAGTAGGCTGTCCGTAAATATTTGTTGAATGCATGTATGAATGAGTGAATAAACTCTGGCGAAGATTCTTTGCTTGACCAAATTTTAGTCAGGCTCCTGAAACTTGTCCTAAGATTATCTGTGCAGTTCCTTGTAAAATCCAGTTTTAGCAAGAACCCTGCGAAGTCAGTTCAGCAAGTGTCCCCCGCCCTCGATATCTGATTGGATTCTTCATCTGCCACCATCCCCAGGTCGTGTCTGGTCACCCTGACCCGTCGTCAGCAAAGGATCCTCTTTGGTCGGTCTAGCCAGAATCCCCCCTACCATTAATGCTTCGTCTCAGTAATCTTCCCCCCATTGACCCCAGCTGTGCCCTGACTGTAAATTCCCGCTTGCCCCGGCTGTGCTGGGAATGGAGGCTGGTTCTGTGCTGAGGTCTCTTTTCCCTCTTGTAGTAGTCCTGAATAAAATCTGATTTTACCGCTTTAACTACTGCCCTACTCTGGTTTTCCTTTGGCAACTCTCCTTTTGTTCCTATGGGTTTTCAACTAATACCCTTGAGTTTTTCAAGTAGATAACTACATACCCAGCAAATAATGGTAATTTGGCCTGTTTTTTTAAATGGATATATCCAATTTTGTTTTCTTGTTTAATTACATTTGCTGGTACTTCCAGAAACTTGTTAAACAATCCTTTTGCTATTGAGCATTATTATCTTTTTTTTTTCAGGGGAAGATTTGTCCTTTGCTAACATCCGTTGCCAATCTTCCTCCTTTTTTCTCCCCCCTAAAGCCCCACTACATAGTTGTGTATAGTTATAAGTTCTTCTGGCTCTTCTGTATGAGCCGCCATCACAGCATGGCTACTGAGAGATGAGCTGTGTGGTTCCACACCCGGAAACTGAACCCAGGCTGCTGAAGCAGAGCATGCCGAATTTTAATCACTAAGCCATCAGGGCTGGCTCAAGCATTATTATCTTGATCCTAACGGGTTTTTTTCCTTCTTCTCCCCAAAGCCCCCCAGTACATAGTTGTATATTCTAGTTGTAGGTCCTTCTGGCTCTGCTGTGTGGGATGCCACCTCAGCATGGCTTGATGAGCGGTGACATGTCCATACCCAGGATCTGAACCGGTGAAACCCTGGGCCACTAAAGCAGAGCACGTGAACTTAACCACTGGGCCACGAGGCTGGCCCCTGCATTTTTATTAATATGAGTTTATAACCTGCATTTATTGGAGCTACAAATTTTGAAAATACATATATGCATTATTTGATGAAATCTTAAAACAAGATAGTACTGCGACAATAGCCATTGTACCCTTTTTCAATTCCTAGATTTAGAATTGCTGAGTTAGAGATGATTTCTTTTTTCAAACAGATTTTGATTACTCTCACCACACTGCCTTTCAGAAAGACAGGATCAATTATTTTTAGCTAGCAGAATATACAATTGCCTTTTCCCTAAAGTTTCCCCAACCCTGGTCATCATTGCTTATTTTAGCTTTTGTCAATCTGATGAGAAGAGTGGTCTTGCATTTATTTTAATAATATCTACTTTGAATAGACTTTATTAAACATTGTTCATTTGTATTTCTTCTGTAGGAAATTACCTGCTTTTTCTAGTGAATTACCCCTTTCTCTAGTGAAATATTCATTTTCTCTTATTATTTAAAAGACTTGTTTTTATATGAAGTCTAATAACCCTTTATCTGCCAAATAGGAAAGAAACATTTATTCACAACTGTAATTTACTTTTAAATGTTATCATATCTTTTTATAATGTCCAAATTTTAATTGGCATACAGTATGACCACTATTTTTCCCTATATAGTTTCTGGTATTGAGATTATAATTTGAAAGTTCTGCTCCACCAAAAAATTACATAAATTTCATTTTTATTTCCTTTGAGAACTTTTCTCTACTGCTATTTCCTGTCTACATATATAGAATTAAAATCAAGCAAACGTCATACTGTGGATGTTGATTACTAATGATGGCAGACATTAACTGGGGAGATACCATGTAACAGGCACTTCTGTAAATGTTTATAATGGTTTACCCAATAATTCTCAGAAGGAGTCATATTAGGGATCCATTAATATTTATTTAAGAAAGGAGGAAATTGAGACCTTTAGCAGTTTGCTCAAAAACATAGAGCCCGGAAGAGGCAGAGTGGGAACACAAAATAGAGTGTGTGTCTCAAGAGCCTAGGTGCTTTACAGCGTGACTTTAGATGCCTTGGAATCGAAAATTCAGGGAGTATCGATATGAGTCTGATACCCTTCTAGAGAATACCCGCTCCTGTTCCACTGTGGGGACAATTCCAGGACAAGAGGACGTATGAGTCTGACATGCCGCTCTTGCCGCCTAACTTTTATTTTGTAAACGATGACCCCTTTAAGGACAAATAAATATTAGAGATGTTGTAACTCCCTTAATAGATCTATACAGTGCACAAGTATTTTCTACAAATGAAAAGCCAGAAATCCTTTACTTTTAATAATAGCTAATATTTATTAAGCACCAAATTTTTACATACAAAATCTCATTCAATCTTGACAATAATTTTGCAAGATAGATACTGTCTTGGCCATTTTCCAGGCGATGGAATTGAGACTCAAGTCTGTCTGACTCCATGGGTGCACTCCTAATGGCTCTGGGTATGCTGGCCTTGGCGAATTGGCTTAAGATGAATTTACTTTAGCCACACTGGCACTGGCCTGCCCTGGAGTCCCCGGGATGAGCACCCGGAGGCAGCCCCAACCTTGGATCCCATAAACAGCAATGACAAGGGTATTAGTGGCAGACCATACCCCTCCTCCGCTCAAGGTACCTGGACAGCCCAGGCTCAGGGCGGAAGCCCTGAGAGGGCTTTGGGGAGATTTCCCAGGGCCTAGGGCAGCGCCTGGTGATGCTCCCTCCGCTCCACGGTGGGGTCCTTTCTGCAGACTTCTCTGCAGACCCAGTGCCTCTTTCCCACCAGAATTGAGCAGACCACTGACCACACCCTTCACTAGCTCCTCTACCAGTCATCAAGGGCTCTTGACCCCATGACACTTCCTGGTCACAAGTTTGTCTAAAGCCCCTCTCTGCAGGTTTGTCTCCCGAGTGTGTATTTTCACTGGGTTCTCTGTGCTTTTGTTTAAATGTGTACCATCCTCACAGACTTTCAGAGAAGCCCCTCACCTGGGCAGGGCACAGAGAGGCCACCCTCTGAGTCCTGCCCTGGGGCTGTCACTACACACCCCTCCAACGCTGGTCCCCAGGGAGCACAGCCTGCTGGGCCCTCTGCTCTGGCCATTTTCCCCATTCTACCTCCCCTGCCATTTAACACACTTTTTAACATAATATAATATTTAAAATATTAGATACACAAGCAACATATGAACATATGTCTATGAAGACTTTCTATGAAAAACGAACACGGTGCTAGAATAAAAGGGAGACTTCAAGTTCCCTTCCCGTCCCCTTCCCCCGACACTAACCATGCTCCTTCTCTCGAAAGTACCCCTGTTCTGCGAGGGGTGTGTAGCTTGCCAGACAGTTGCTGCGTTTCCATAGATAGAGGCTTATGTGTGCAAACACATGCACAGTCGGAGTTCACTTCACTTTACGTAAGTGGGATTATTCTCTATGCGCCATTCTGCAGCAACCATTAAATTTAACAAGATGTTTGGAGACCCAGCTGTGTTTGCAGGTAAGACGTGCCCAGTCTTTTCAAACTGCTACCTGGCACCGTGCAGAAAAGATGCGCCATGAGTTATCTTATTATTCCCCCGGGGCTGCTGTGACTTTGCTAGACTAACATTTGTGAAGTGAAGCACAGGGTGCCAGAGGGTGAGCCCGGGGTCAACAAAAGACCACAAGAGAAGTTGAAATAGACAAGTTTACCACTCACAGGTCCTGGAGCAGGTACCCAGCACGCCTCGAGGGGCCACACAGGGAGGTGAAGGCAGGGTGCAGGCAGAGAGGGTCAGGACCTGGGGCACACACCTTTATTAGGGTCCGTTTGGGAGTGCTTTGGGGTTCCCAGGCTAAGGCCAGATTGGTCAATTCAAACCAAAAAGAGCCGGGGTTCAGTATGGGGAAGGCCTTAGGGGGCAGGGGAGGCTGTTAATCACAAGGGCCGGGGAAGTCGGGTCAGGAACTTCCGTTTTGCGTGTGACTCTCTGGGCTCCCGTCTAGTGGGGGGCTGGCGTCAGGTGAAGACCCCTGCAAGCCACCTGGCCAAAGAACATGGATGCCAAGGCAGCAGCACCCGGGGCAGTGTAGCTAACTCCCCACAGGGGCTCACTATTATAATCAACCTGCGATGACCATCTTTGTGCAGGTCCTTCTGTGCCCGTGTGTGTGTGTTCCTCAGGCACGAGTACCTAGAAGTGGCGTCGGCAAGTCAAAGAATGCACGCAGCAAACTTCACAGATCCTCCCATTCACCTTCAAAAATCATACAATTCACATTCTCGCCGTGAAGATAATACCTGCTTCCTCGCACCCTCCACGACACCGGCTATGAGCAATCTTTTTAAAGATCTCTGAAATTAATGAATAAAACATAATATTGCAATTTGCTTTCATTTATAAATGTCTCAACAAATTAGAAGTTACGATGTCTTTGTAAATATCTCTGAGGATATCTATTGCAATTATTTGAAGTTTCTCTCCTGTTCCGTGAATTATTGCCATTAATTCTACATTCAGGTGTTCTGTGTGCTTGTGTTGAATCTTTACCTTCATGCTCTTCATTTCCCTCCACCGTGTGAGCTACTTGACTGTCAAACAGTGTTAATGATCAAAGGAATCGAGAGCATATCCTCCTGCCCACATTTTGGGCTGTTGAGGCTTCTGCTCCTGACATTCTAATTCAACCCTCAGAAACCTAATCTGTTGACGGTCACTATTCTTAACTTGGATTCACCTTCTTTTTAAATTTGTTTCCTACCATTTACTAAGATTGGGGGTGGGAAGAGAGAAATGCCAGCGGGCTGGGTCGGCCACACTGATCCTCCACACACACACACCCCCTTGGAGGTGCAGCCACTAATATCTAAGCACAGGAAGAAACACACACCACCTCCCTTTTCAAGACGGTGGGGTTTTCTCTGGGTTCCCAGAGGTGAATTTAACTGGAGGAGGCTGGAACGCATTTCCTGTGGAGTGGAAATCCCTAGTAGGTTTCTCAGAGGAGGTGGAGCAATGTCAGCCTCTGCCCGGGAGGAATACGCCAGCGGCCTTCTGTGGAGACCCTGGGAGGTCGAGGCTGAGAGTGGGGAACCAGGGGGAGACAGACACCAGATATGGGTGTGAGGATGAAAAGGAGGGAAGAGAGGGGAGGCAGAGGAGAAGCAGAGCTGACAGAGGTGGTGGTCTGGGTGATTCATGAACTTAGAAGCAGGAGGAGGAGATCTGGCAGAGGGGCGTTCTAAGGTTTGGGGGGTGGCTGAATAGGGTTTGGAGCCCCCTGATTGGGGCCTTGGAGCAGAGGCACAGGGAGTGTTCCAAAGGGCTGGGTCTGCATGTCGGGGAGGCCTGGGTGCCACAACGGTGATGGATTCAGGGCTGGGAGGCATCTTCCACAGGCACAGACAGCCCTCTCCTCAGAAAGGGCCACAGGAGTCATGGAGGGCAACAGCCGATGTGGCAGCATGGGCGTTGCTCCAGGCGCCTGGGCTGACCTAGGGCCATCAGAAACCTCCACTGCTGCTGCCCGCAAAGCGTTCTTATGGCTCTGGGGAGTGGGGAGAAGGAATTTCACAAAGTGAAGTGTATGCGCTGCCTGGTCCTGCTCCCCTCCCAAGCCTGCCCACCTCTCCAGGTCTCGGTCAGTCCCCGAGGGGCTGACTTCTGGTTGTCAGATCTGTGGCACTGAAGGAGTGGATGAGGTATGAGTGTGTGTCTGTGTGAGTGTGCATACATCTGAGCAAGGGCCTGAGAGTGTGAAGAACTGAACACTGGGAACCCCAGGACCCCCACCCCGTTCATCTCAGATGAGGCAACTGCAGGGTCCTCCACGTCTTCTCATCAGGATTCATGGGCATCCGGAACATTCTCACTTGCACACACTAGCACTTTCAGTATAGTGGGTTTTCAACTTGGACAGGGCATTTTGGATAATTTTTTGCAAGTTGAGTGAATATTTCAGTACCAAGAATAGTAAAAAAAAAAAAAAAAAATGTGTTCCCTCTCCCCCATCCTCAATAAAATAACTTTGAATTTATCTTTGTGGCAGTGTACCCCCACTGAAGGCTATGTTTCTCAGCCTCCCTTGAAATGGGGGGTGGTCGTGTGACTAAGATCTGGCAATGATTTGTAAACAGAAGTGTCGTCTGTGCTTTCCATAAGACCCTGTGAAAACATGACTGGGTCAATCTCTTTTCTCCTATCTTTGTTCTCCTCCATGCTGCTACCTAGCATGAGCATGTGATGACTGGAGCCCTGGTAGCCACCTAGAGCTATGTGGTGACTTGAGGAATGGATGCCCTGCACGGTGGAGCAATAAGATAGAAGGATTGTGGGTCTCTTGTATTCCGGAGGTAACTTGCTAGCCTTAGATTCCCTATGTCTGAACTCTTTTTGAGAAAGCAATAAACTATGTTGCATAACCTTATTTTAAATTATTTGTTACTCCCAAGCGAACCTATGATTCATCAGTCAGCTATTGCTACAATAATGCTGCATAACAACCCACCCCAAAACTCAGGGCTTGAAACAACTTTCATTTCTTCTTGCTCACGCATCTAAGGGTTGGCTGAGGGTCAGCTGTTCCAGGCTGGGCTCAGCTGTGCTTGCCTCAGAGAGTGGCATGTAAGATTAAGAAAAGTAACAGTGAAATGCAGACTTCCTAACTGGTGTTCACCTAATGCTGGAGTGCTGCTCCCTGTTCCTGTGCATGTCTGGCTTTCCATAAAGAACCACTTCGCTGCTTAGGAGAGTGAAATGGGCTCCTTTAATTGAATAAAGACACAGGTTTGATTCCCTCTGAGAGCTCTGGGATCCTTATACACTCTCATCTCCCAAAACACACAACAAACGGGCCCAAGTAGACCAAGTAGACACTGTAACCAAGCACTAACAACAAAACCCTCGCAACTGGACTGCACAATATGATACGGAGGAAACCTCGGCTAATTGAGTCAGAACCTGTGTGTCTTGTCTCACATTCCACAACAAACTAACCTGCCTGTAGGGACATCGGTCCTGCATTGCTTCTGTTCACTCGCCCCCACGTCCTGCAGATATGTCCAGCTCAGGTTCCTGGATTCCTCCCCAGGCCCCCATCGAAGGCAGACAGAGCCGCCCGATGGAGCTTCCTGCATGCGCCTCTCCCTCCCAAGGCAGGGCTCCCTCAAACATAGTTCGGACCTCCCTCTTCCTCTAGAACCACCCTGGCTCCCCAGTGCTTCCCCCCGAAGCCCAGGCTCCCCAGCCTGATCCTGAAGCTCCTCCATGAACAGGGCCCTACCGGCCCACCCAGATGGAGGTCCCGCCAGGAGCCACCCGCAGGCAGGTGGGAGGCAGTTCAGTGCGGGAGCCTGGACACATGTTCCATCAGTTTCCTCACTGGTAACAATGGAACTGATGAGGTCCATTGTTCTTACAGAACTCTCAGAGGAATTAAATGGATGAGGAATACAAAGCACCAGGGTACGGAAGACACTGAACCAATGCTGAGCAAAGTCAGTGGGTGTGGGGTCAGGCCCACCTGGAAGGAAATCAGAACCACTCCTGATCAGCGCCTGTGAATCTGACACTGTGTCTATTGAGTAGGGGCCTGGGGAGAAAGGAGCCCACACCCACTCAGCTCTGACATCCCGGGCTGCCAAGATCCCCTGCATGGCGCCAGAGTAGGGGACACAGGCAGGAAGCTCCAAAGGGAGGTAAGTGGATAGCCCAACACGGACAGGAGAAAGGCACAGTCTGTCCATTTTACAGACAGAGAAACTGAGCCATGGTTGGCCCAGCCCCCGTCTGGGGGAGGAGTTGAGGAGTAGAGTCCCCAGGAGCATGCTGTCTCTAGCTCTGCTTGCAACGGTCCAGGCTCCTGTGAGGGTGACAGCGAGGTTGGGAGGAGTTACTGAGGCTCCAGAGTTCCCTTCTCAGAGGGTGGGCAGAGGGCTCAAGCCCTCGACCCCCATGCCCTTTGACAGGACTGCTGGTGGTGCCCTGCCCTGGTAGTGTGACAGTGGTTCCTCACCCCATCTCTTGAGGACACTTCTGAAGGAACCCCAAATCCCACCACAATGACATGCCCCAGCCCCTCTTGCAAAACTTCACACTGTGACAGGGGCTATTTTGAGCCCCCTGGGAGCAGGGCCAGCCCCACCCTAAGCCCAGGCTCCCCTCCCTCCAGCTCCCAAACCTGGACTCCAGGTCCCAGCTGCCAGAGTGGAGCCGGGGTCCAGAGGGTTCCAGCAGAGTCCTCTCCTGGGGTGCTGAGCTCTGGACTCTAGGCAGAGGGTGCTCACCCCACTCACACTGGTGGGGAGTCCACAGTGCAGAGAAAGGAGCAGATCCAGTCCTCAGAGAGCTTCCTGTCCGGTGGCGAGGGACGACCCACACTGACCCAGCAGAGAACAACTCAGAGTGGAACACAGAGATAGTGTACTGTGGGCAAAGAGTGATCTCGGGGGCCTGCAGGGAGGAGGCGGCCCTTCCCCGTGATCAGCAGAGCCCAGAAAAAGAGAAAATCAACATGGGAAAACAGTTGCTACACACCCTGACACACCGCTATAACAGGCAGAGCCACCCTCCTCCCTTCAGGAGGGCACCCTTGGCATTTTGGTGCGTAATTAGGTTCAGCGAGGGGACGCCCAGATCTCGCCTCTGCGTGTGTGTGCAATCCAGTTTTTGATCCTGTCTCTGGGCGAGACTCCAGCCGAAAGGCCGCGTTTGGCAGTCAGGAGGCCTGGCCTGGCTACAGCAGCACATCCCGGCCGCAACGCCCTCATGTGAACAGAAAAGTAATGCCCCCCTCACACCCCTACTGTGGGACTGAAGAGAGAGGGCACGGGGACCCGCCTTGTAACTAACATCTGGCAAGCGAGGGGCTGGCACTGTTCCCGAGGTTTTCTAGTTCGAAAACTCCATCCTGCTTTCCCACCTGTGGTCCCTGGGCACTGGTAGCTGATGGCCCTACTGCGTTGTCCTCCTTTTACCTGTCCCTCTGCCCTAATCCTGGCGGATGCTCACTCTGCATCGGGGCCGGGCGAGGAGAGGGGCAAGGGGGCGGGGCAAAGCAGTGAACTGGGAATCCTGTCCCCTTGATAGGCTCGAATGCCTGTCAGTCATAACTCCCAGCGGAGCGCCCTGAAGCAGGCGATGGGCTGCAGAGACCCCCGGTGGCCACCACCGGAATTACACATACACAGAGAACTCGCAGTGGTCTTAGTCTCTCTCTGTCTCTCTCTCTGTCTCTGTCTCTCTCCTCCTCTCTATCTAATTTCTTTTTCTTTGTAAATTACATCTTTTTAAAATTAAATCTTAAAATTGCTAGCATCCACTAAAGAAACAGCTGTTAGGGTCTTTCATCTGTTTAGGTGTTAATTACACAAATGTTTCTCTAGTGTCCACAGGTGGACAGTTAAGGGTGCAGAGATGATGCCAGGTCCATCCTCCCACCAGCCCCTCTGAAGACCCCTGATCTCTTTGCTCTCAGCTCCCCTCTCTCCCTCCTCTGCCAGGGACCCTCCCTACACTTCCTCACTGGAACTGAATCTCCACCTCCCCTGTCCCCTCAGTGCCCACAAGACCTCCCTAGGTGGAAGCACGTCACTGATCTACCAGACAGGTCTGGGCATGAAGCTTCTGACCACCCCTGGGGCCAGTGGGGCTTAGGGCTCTTGCTCAGACCCCTAAGTGCCCCGAGCTTGTCATCCACCTTCACCGTGACTTTCCCTGGAAAGGAGGGTGAAGCCAGAGCTCTGCAAAGAAGAGGCGGTGCACAGAGAAAGAGAAAGAAGAGAAAGAGTGGGCAGTCCATTGCTTGACCACAGTTTCCTCCTGGCCTTCTCGGCTCCTCCTCCAGAGGCTGGTCACAGGAAGGGGCACCTGGGCCTGGAGGAGAGGAGCCGCCTCTGCAGAGACCCGGGAGCTGTGTGCCCGGCAGGGCTGTGCCCTCCAGTCCAGATTCACCTCTGCCCTCCCAGGTCTCCCGCTCCCCACCCCGGGCCTTGGCCTCTCTCCTTTCGTCTGTCTCAGAGGCACTGGAAGAGGCAAGCGACTCAGGCCCCACTCCCGGCTTCCTCTCTCCAGTGCCCCCCACCATGTCCTCTCCCACCAGCACACTGGAAAAGGGCCATATGGCCCGGAGGTTCCCATTCCCACAACTGCTACTGCTGCTGCTGCTGCTCCCAGGTGAGGAGAAAGGGATCTTAAACTGGGAGGGGAGGAGAGGGGGTGACAGAGACAGCAGGGCCGGGAGCAAGTGGCTCTGTGGCCAGAGGGCTGGTGGCGGGGCTAGTCCTGGCGTGGCCCCGACCAGCAGCCTTGTTCCCCAGGCTCATGGGCACTATCAAAGGCCCAGGAACTTCACCGTGTGGCAGGGCAGACGCTCTCTGTGAGGTGCCAGTATCCGCCCAGGGGTGGCCCCTACCAGAGCAAAGGCTGGTGTAAGGAGGTGTCGAAGTTCACGTGCCTCAGGCTGGTCACCAGCTCCAGACCCCGCACGCTGACTCAGATCTCTCAATCCTCAATCTGGGACGACCCTGCTGCTGGCTTCTTCATTGTCACCATGACTGGTCTGAAGGAGCAAGACTCGGGACACTACTGGTGCAGAATCTACCACACTTCCGGAAACTCTGTCGATAGGTCCTTAAGGTTCTATCTGGCGGTGTCTCCAGGTGAGCCTCTTCCCCGGGTCCCCTCGCTCCCTTTTGGTGCCTCCTGGTTTCCTAGTCACGGAAGCCAGGCTGCCCTCTATCCCACTCTCGTAGGAAGGCTGTTGGGGACGTGTGCCCGGGGGACTTGCATATGTGCACACACACACACACCCTCACACACAGTCTGTCTCGATGATTTACAAGCCTCCTCAAAGATGCTCAAACGGAGCAGTTGAGGATGCTGACCAGTCTGAGCTCCTCTGACCTGGACAAGGGGAGCCCCAGACAGCCCGGCATCTTTGGAGGAGACACCTGTACCTGGCACATAGTAGGCACTCAAGTAAATGTGTGTCCACTGGCCACAAACCGCCCCTCCCCATGTTGGTATCATGTTGGTCTTTCCATTCTTCCTGGTCCAGATCAGAGGTCAGCAAACTGTGTCTGAAAGCTAAGCACGGTTTTGATTTTTTTTTTTAAAGATTTTATTTTTCCTTTTTTCTCCCAAAGCCCCCTGGTACAAAGTTGTGTATTTTTAGTTGTGGGCCCTTCTAGTTGTGCTATGTGGGACGCCACCTCAGCGTGGCTTGATGAGCGGTGCCATGTCTGCGCCCAGGATTCAAACCAGTGAAACCCTGGGCCGCCGAAGCAGAACACGAGAACTTAACCACGTGGCCACGGGGCCAGCCCCTGAAAGCTAAGGATGGTTTTTTAATGATTGGGAAAAAATGGAAAGTAAAATAATATCTTGTGATACGTGAAAATTGTAGAAAATTCAAATTTCAGGATCCATAAATAAAGTTTTTTGGGAAGACAGCCATGCCCATTTGTTTACGTAATGTCTATGGCTGTTTTCATATCATAATAGCAGAGATGAGTAGTTGTGACATAGACCACATGGCCCACAAGTCATAAAGTAGCTGTTCTCTGGCCTTTTACAAACAGTTTTGCCAACCCCCAGTCTAGATGAGGGCTTCTCAAAGTATCCGTGGTTGCAATGGACTGAATGTTTGTGTCCCCTCCAAATCGTGTGTTGAACTCCTAACCCCCAGTGGGATGGCCCTGCACCGGGGCGTCTGGGAGGTGGTTAGGTCCTGAGGGTGGAGCTCTCATGAATGGAATTAGTGCCCTTATAAAGGGACCGCCTGCCAGAGAGCTCCGCATCCTCTTTCTGCCACGTGAGGATACAACCTGGAAGAAGGGCCTCCCCAGAACCCCACCATGCTGCCACCCTGATCTTGACCTGCCAGCCTCCAGCACTGTGAGAAATGAGTTTCTGTTCATAAGCCAGCCAGTCCGTGGTACTTTGTGACAGCAGCCTGAGCAGACCAAGGCAGTAGTAGAGGACCTTTTAAAAAAAATCTCCAATTCATCAGTGACTATGTTTTTGGTAAAATACAATAAAAATAAATCACCAGAAACATAATAAGAAAAAACATATAAAATACAAGCCCAAAATGCTTATTAGATTTGACAGGTGTAAAATTACATTTCAACAAATACAATCAGAACAAACATAACATAGGGAAAAAACTTTTAATCATAAAAGTTACAGGGAGGGGGCTGGCCCCGTGGCTGAGTGGTTAAGCTCGCGTGCTCCACTGCAGGCAGCCCTGTGTTTCGTTGGTTCAAATCCTGGGCGCGGACATGGCACTGCTCATCAAACCACGCTGAGGCAGTGTCCCACATGCTACAACTAGAAGGACCCACAACGAAGAATATACAACTATGTACCAGGGGGCTTTGCGGAGAAAAAGAACAAAAAAAGTTACAGGGACTGGCCCCTTGGCCCAGTGGTTAAGTTCGAGTGCTCTGCTTCGGCAGCCCAGGGTTCGAATCCTGGGCGCGGATATGGCACCACTCATCAGGCCATGCTGAGGCGGCGTCCCACATGCCACAACTGGAAGTACCCACAACTAAAAATACACAACTATGTACTAGGGGGCTTTGAGAGAAAAAGGAAATATAGAAAAAATTTTTAAAACTTAAAAAAATTACACACGTTCATTGAAAGTGTACATGCAGGTAATTGATGTAGTAGCTTAACATTATACCTGTAACATTTTATTATACCAGTAACTTTTGTTACTGGTATAATCCTAACCAAACAAAACTGATCATAATTAAATCATAACTAAAACAATCATAAATAAACAATCATAACTAAACACAAAGTTAGAAGTGAAATAGCAATTTTCTGTATTAAATGTCAATATTCACACTTGGAACAAACACTCTAAATATCCACATTTGAAGATTTTAATGTGACAAATGAGCATTCTTCTTGCTTATTAACTTACCTAATCTGAGTAACATTAGTGACATCATAACTCTCAGGGGAAAATGTATAAAGAAATTGTTTTGATGCTTTGTTTTAATAACACTCATAGCAGAAAACTGGTCTCACTGACGTGTGTTGACAGAAATACAAAAAAAATATTTTTAAGCAATCTCAACAAGCTCAGTATTTTTAACTTTTACAAAAGGAAGCACGTGATGCTGTATTTTCAAAATGCATTTTCAATCCTTCATCAGTAGCTAGTTCCAAAATTTTATCATAAAGTATAATTATATTTAAATTATCTTTTGATGAAAAAAATGGATTCTGAATCTATGACTTTCCTATGCATATATCTTCTTTTGACAGAAAATAAAAGTCAAAACATTCTATCAAATTATTAAAGCTTTTCTATGAGTACGTACTTTTGCAGATGCGCAATATTGAGATCATCACCTATTTTGTTGATCATTTTTATTAAATTCAGAACACGACATAATTTATAGAAGCTATCCTTCTAAGCTTCTTTTGTTTTTGTCCTTAGATTTTATTTGCCATTGAAAAACACGTTGCCTTCCTTCCTTGCATGGAAATATTAATATCAAAGCTCTAACAGAAACAAGTCTGACTGTGAAATTCACATCTTTAAAAAGCTGGTACTAAACTGATTTCTGTCTTGCGCAAACATTAGGAGTTCTTCCCGTGGATCAAAGATTCTCGACGTGGCATTCGATAACGACTGCTTAGGATCAGTTTCCGTGTCATCACATAATAAAGAGAATGATTTCAAATTCTGTACATTCATCTTTATGTAATCCACAATTTTTACCACGTTGTTAAGCATGCCGTTCAGTTCAGCTGAGTGTTTTTCATAACAAGACTTTCTCAGTGAAGGAAGCAGTGCGTTGATTTACATTCTGGCCCAAGGCTCCTTAATCTGAATGCTACTCCAGAATGCTTCCCTGTCATAGCAACTGCAGCCATCAGAACATACTCCTTCAGATTGCACCTATAGTAAGAGAATAGCTATCTTAGCAATATTTGTGCATTTTTCAACTTGCTGTGAAAAATACTTTGCTAGCTTTACAGTTATGTGTTAATTAACAATGGGGGTAGGTTCTGAGAGATGTGTCATTAGTCGATTTCATTGTTGTTCAAATATCACAGAGTTCACTTACACACACCTAGATGGTGCAGCCTCCTGCACACCTAGGCCATAAGGTACTAATCTTATGGGACCACCATCATATATGCGGTCCCTCATTTACCGAAACTTTGTTATGGGGCCCATGACTGTATTCATTCTGGGAGTGGATCTTCCATATCATTAGCTAATTCCTGAATACGTGGAGCTAAAATGTCCTGGTTTGTGCTATTTAAGCTCCCTTCCTTGCTATAGATTAACCCAACACCGTGAAGCAAACATCTGCCTTGCAGTCTTTCAACGCTGTTTCAGCAATTATAGACAGAGTTTTAGTCTTAGCAATTTCACAAGAAGCCCACAAAACATTAGAGTTTATATGTGAAATATTGACTGCTTTCAAGAGCATTTTTTTTTTTTTAAAGATTGGCACCAGAGCTAACAGCTGTTGCTGTTGCCAATCTTCTTCTTTTTATTTTTCTTCTTCTCCCCAAAGCCCCCCCAGTACATAGCTGTATATTCTAGTTGTGAGTGCCTATGGTTGTGTTGTGTGGGACGCTGCCTCAGCATGGCCTGATGAGCGGTGCTGGGTCTGCGCCCAGCATCTGAACCATGGAAACCCTTGGCTGCTGAAGCAGAGCGCGCGAACTTAATCCCTCAGCCATGAGGCCACCCCTCCAAGAGCTCTTTAATTTAATGCTCTTTTTTGTTGTTGTTAAAAATGATTAGTTTGTTTTGAACTTGTGTTTTCATGTTTTGTATGTAAATGCCATTTGTTTTTATGATGTTTTTGCTTCATTAGCCAGTACATCTCAACAAATAACTCACTGGGTTTTAGTACTTCGCCATGAATCATAGTTACAAAACTCACACTCTCTGAGCGCCATACTTTCCCATCGCTGCCGTAACGAATTACCGCCAACACCGTGGCTTACAACACCACAGATGTGTGATCTCCCAGTTCTGTGGATCGGAAGTCCACTGTGGGCCCCTCTGGGCTAACATCAAGATGCCAGCAGCCTGTGTTCCTTCCTGTAGGTTCTTAGAGAGAGTCCATTTGTTGCTCATTCAGATCTTCGGCAGAATTTGGTTCCTTAGAGCTATAAAACGGAGGTCCCATTTTCTTGCTGGCTGTCTATGGAGAGCTTTCCCAGCTTCTAGAGGCGGCCATATTCCTTGGCTCATGGCCTCCTTCCTCCACCTTCAAAGCCAAAGATCCTTTCCTCTCTGTCTGTAGCTGGGGCACATTCTCTGCTTTTAAGTCCTCGTGATTAGACGGGACGCACTCACATAGTCTCTCCATCTCAACATCTTTAATCTTAACCACCTCTGAAAAGTCCCTTTTGCCATGTAAGGGAACATATTCACAGGTTCCTGGAACCTAGGATGTGGACATCCAGGGGGCTGTTGTTATGCCCACCACAAGGAGGGATGACATTTTCCAATAAAACCAGTACAAACTCTTTGGGGTAACTTCAGAAGGGAAATTTTCTTTGAAAGCAATTCCACTATCATCATTTAGTTTATTATTACTGCTACAGTCAGAAAAGATATGTCTTTTCTTGATGAAAAGCTCAGTGACTTTTGTTTTGCTATGTGTTAATTAGTAATCAAATTAGCTAATTACTACTCTAAATTAGCTAATCATGTTAAACTCTAAACTTAAAAAAAACAGGTTTGATTGAAAATTAAAATGATGGCAAAAATAACAAATGATAAAAATAATTTTTTCAGGTGTTTATACACTATTGGGTTATAACTGACCAACTAACCTTAACGTATCACAGGCAGGAATACGGTCCTACTGTGTGTTACTGGCACACAGCTTGCTCCATGCGCAGCTCTCTGTGCCACTTTGGCAGCACTCGGACTTATCTATATCCCGTTCAACCAGATGAGTTTACTAATCTTGCTTGGACCTTGAGGCAATGTCAAATTGATATAAAATCTCAAAATCCTTACTCCTAATTTCTGTATTTACTTTGTGGCAAGCAGGTTGCAATTTGTGGACCGGCGCCAGCCCGTCACACATTCAGTGGCCCAGGACTAGAATTTTCTGAGCGTCTCAAGGACCTCCTCCAGGCTGGGAACATGGGTAGTTCCCAGCTGTCATTCTGGGCAGGCTTGGAGAGAGTGTTCCTGTGGGACAGGATGGTGTCCGCATGCCTGTCAGCCTGGGACTCTCTCCAGGGAAGACCGTCCAGGGCAGCCCCTGAGCCCAGGGGTGTCCCAGCCTCAGGCACCCTCTCTCCTCTGGGCCTCTCCCAGCCCTTGACCCTTTCTTTCCCCCCCCTTTGCGGGAGACTGCTCCCCTCAAGGACCCTGGGTGTGTGTGTAGACTTGGCCGAGGACGCTGAGAGCCCCCACTTCCTGTCACAGCGTTGGGGCCGACACTGTGTCTTTCCCATCTGGGCCTCCCTCTGCCCTCTGCAGCCATTGTCTTCTCTTTATCCTCAACAGCCCCCAAGACTTCTCCAGAGATGCCCTCCCCACAGCCTCCCCCACGGGATCCGAGCACGGGTAGGTCTGGGTCTTCCTGGGAAAGAAGAGCAAGCAGGGCAGGTGGTCAGCAGGCAGGTCACAAAGTCTCAGAGTCAAGAGGGGGCTCCATAAAAGGTATTTACCCAGGCCGTTGAGGCAGTGGGGCCTGCGGGCTGGCCTAGGCTCTGCCACAGAACCAGGAGGGACAGGGCCGTGACAGCAGCCCTTAAAATTCCCCATGAGGCTCCCCCTTCCCCTAACGGCCCCAGAAGTGTGCGAAAGGGAACGATGTCAGAGATGAGAGCTCCTTAAAGACCGTGGCTGTTTCCACACTTGGGGAGGCCCAGAGGTAAAGAGGGCCCATCCAAAGATGTGGAGCAGCTCAGAGGGAGGCCCGGGCCTGCTGACTCCTATTCCAGTGCTCCTCCTGGACCCAGGGACACCTCCACAGGCCCCACATAGAGCCTGGGCCGCAGGTCTGTCTAGTCCTGAGCCGGGGGACTTCACACACCAGTCCCCACTCCCCAAATTGGTTTTCTTCTAGGCTGATGAGCTTCTGTTCTCAGTCCAGCCCGGTCCCCTGTTCCAGCTTTCCTGCCAGCAGGAACAGGTGGGCCATCCCATCTGCTAACCAAGGTCCCATCTCTTTCCTTGGCAGCCTCTGCCTCCATGCAGGCCACCTGGGCTCCCCATGACCTGGTCTCATCACAGACCCAGAGCTGTGTGTCCCCGACTGGAAGAGCTGGAGAGACCCCCGGGGCTTCCTCTGCTATCACCGCCCCTTCACGGTGAGTTCAGCTTGCGACCCTCATCCACACACGGGCCTGGCTCAGGGGCCCAAGGACAGAAGCTGCCACCCCAGGCTCGGTCCTCTCCCCTTTCTGTCCCTCTGTCCTCCAGGCAACAAAACCCCACCCCCCACTCCAGTCCTGCAGCCCCCAGTGCCCTGGTGCCCCTGCTGTGTGGACTCCTCGTGGCCAAGAGCCTGGTGCTGTCAGCCCTGTTTGTCTGGTGAGTGGGGTTCAGGCTGGACTTGGGGGGAAATGGAGCAGGGAACAGCCTCTGTCCCTGGGTAGAGAGTTGGAGGGGAAAAAATTATAATCAACAGCACTCTCCAGATTAAACCCTCACTGAATCCATCCATCTTGGGTGTTCGTTACAAGCTCAGCTTTGTCTTTCAGCTGTAAACTCTCACGCATCTTGTCCACGTTTCCCACCCCTCCCCACTCTCCCTCCCCCTCTAATTCATCCCTCCGTTCATCCCTCCGTCAGTAACACCGACAGGAACAACCAGAAGTCCCTCCCACCGCCTGCCCTTCATGGAACCAACGCCTATGCGCAGCCCCCATCTCAGAAGCTGCCTCATCCTAAGTCCTGAGGGAAAGAGGGTTACACAGGAGGGAGAGTCACAAGCTCTGGGGAGAAGGGGACACACGAGGGAGCACAGAGGTGGGGCTGAGGGAAAGGTGCAGGGCCAATGAGAGAGTGAGGAGGACATGGAGACAGGACCAGGTCAGGCCAGGAGCCAGCGTGGGGAGAGAGGGACACGGCCAGAGAACGATGCCAGTGGTTTCACGTGTTTCTCCCTCTCAGGACCTCACATCTCAGGACCTTAAGGAATCGACATGTGCGGCACAGAGGGAGGTCTCTGACGTGCCCAGCTCGGCGCAGACCAGGCCCCTGGGCACTTCCTGCTGAGCCTCGGGACCCAAGAAGGACGGCCAGTCTCCCTGCAGTCCTCAGGAGCTCCTCCCTGACCTCTGAACTCTGCCTTTCCCGCGAAGAAAAGGCCAAAGCCTCCCAGAACTTAAGCCAGCGCCCTTGGCTACCTTCCTCACTCCAGTGCTGAGGATTTCCCAGCTCCGCCCCCGCCCAGGTCCAGGCCCACTGCTGGCTCACACTGTGTTTGCCTCTGGGCCAGCACCGTCCAGACATGGGAGCCAAAGCCCAGGACAGCACCTTTCCACCAAATCAGAGTCACCACTGCTGACAGCTCCCACTCCTCCTCTTCCCTTCCTCCTCTACCCCCACCTCCTGCTCTCCCTCCTTCTCATCCTCCTCCTATAGCCCCACAGCTCAGCCACGCCCCAGATCACTGCCGACATCTCTCTCTCCCTCTCCCCTTGCTCAGCCACACACTGCCAAAGCCTCTCTATCCGCTTCTCTCTGTTGCTTCCGTCTCTTCCTCCTCGTTTCCAAAACCCGTCACCTCGCACCTCTGTGTGGACCACTATGTCAGTCACCTAACTGGTGTCCCGCCTTTGCTCTCCACGTCCCAGATTGTTCCCCCTTATACATCCCTCTCAACAACGCCTCTGTGCACTTTGACTGTGTGGGAATTGAAGTCCAGGGTCATTTCAGGGCCCCAGGCTCTGCCAAGGTCAGCCACCCCTTGTCACCATGTCACTGTGCATCCCCCATGCTGTCCTTCTTGTGCCACCAAGATGGCCACAGGCTCGGGAGAGAAGTGAACCCTCCTTTTTCTGCACAAGTTGAGCAGGACGCTCCTCACGACCACGAGCGAGGTGGCCCTGGTCTGACGCCCGGCGCTGACCCTCCCTACTGCTGTCCTCTCTCTGACACTTGTTATCTCAGTGTTGGACTTTCCAGACTGAGCCTCTAACTTTATTATCTTTTCTCTCTTGTTCTTCATCCATTTTTCTTTATTCCTGCTTTCTGGGAAAGTTCCTCAAGGTTGCAGTCCAAGTCTTCCATTCAAAGGTTTACTATTTATGCAAGCACATGTTCAAGTTTCTAAATGGTCCGTTTGTTCTCTGAACGTTCCTTTTTCACCTGCATGTTTTATTTGGGGATGCCATATTTTTTCTGGCAATATTAAAGTTTTAACTTTTGACGTTTTTTTTAAGCCTTGTCTATTTTCTGTTTCCTCCAAGTGCCTTTTTGTATCTTTTGTTTTCTCCTTTCATTGGCCTCTGTCTTTCCTCAGATCTTTCTGGAAACCTCTGCTGCTTCTCGGCAGCCCATCCATATTTAAAGGTTTGGATGCCCAGTGTGTGTGTCATGGACTCTAGACTGATTGGGCAAGAGCATTTTAATGGACTGAATGTGTCCCCCCCAAATTCGTATGTTGGAATCCTAACCCCCAAAGTGATGGAATTAGTTGGGGGGTGCGCCTTTGGGAGGTGATTAGGTCATGAGGGTGGAGCCCTCATGAATGGGATTGGTGTCCTTACAAAAGAGACCCCACAAAGGTCCCTACCCCCTTCCGCGGTGTGAGGACACGGCGAGTAGACAGCCCTCTGTGAACCAGGAAGCCCTCACCAGACATGCAATCTGCCGAGTCGCGGTCTTGGATGTCCCAGCCCCCAGAACCGTGAGAAATAAATGTGTGTCATTCAAGTCCCCCGATCTGTGGTATTTGTGTTATAGCAACCCCAATAGACTAAGACAAGCATGGTTTTGTTTTTTTCTTTGACAGCTCAGTTTCTCCAGAAAGACTGTCCTCCTTGGGGGTATAAGCCTGGATGCCAGGGTTCTAGGCGCCAACTGCAGCAAAGCGAAGGAGCCCCATGCCCAGGGTCTGTATCACTCCCTCAGCCCCCTGTTGAAACACACTGTCCCGCTCAGTGGTGCCCTGAGCGAGCATCTCTGTGATGCACCCTCATCAGAGACTAACTTGAAGTTCTTTGCAGGGTGCTGGATGAGAGCAGAGAGGATGTGGGCAGCTGACCCACTCTTAGTCTCACGGAAGGTGAGGAGTGGAACTGCTTCTCAAGCGGACTTTCAACCTACTCTCTGGTTCCCAGCCCCCGCTTCCCCTCTGCCTTCTGAGATGCTCATGCCTCCAATTTCTAAGACTTTTTGAGGTCCTGAGATAAAAATGACTTGCTTCTTATTTCTCCCACTCCCATCCTTCTCTGGTCCATTAAAGTCATCCAATTGTCACCCATCCTCAAAACTTTTATGGAGCCCTCTCTTTATCCTTGAAGCTGGCTTTATACCCTACTTACCCATCTACTGCCACTTCCCTCACACAGCTTCCACAGCTCCTTAGCAGAAGTAGAGGGGCACCTCAGATTTTCCATCAAACCAACCCTCTCAGCACCCGCCCCCGTGAGGAGGAGTAAATGAGATCCCAGACGTCCCTCTGCTTCTGTGAAGACTCCTGGCTCCCCCTCCATCGCCCCAGACCAGCCTCTTCATTCCTTTATCCCTGTTCACTCCAGTGACTACACGAGGCCCAGGGTGCCCTGGTCTTCTCTCGTCACCCAGAATCACCTCTCAATGAGACCTTATAAATTCATTAAGTTAGCCCCATTTCCCACTCTTCCCAAAATCCATAAATCTTTTCACTCTGTCCTCTAAAACATAGAGTCGGCAGCACAAGCCCTTATGCTCTCAGCTTCTCAGAATGGCACGCTCTTACTCTCCCTGAAGTCTGCCTCTGAGAACACTGCTTTCTCTGTAGTTCGCACAAGTCATGGTTTTCGCTCTCCCTGGCCTTCTGCCAGTGGGCCTGAAGGTGGGGACAGTGTCCTCTTCACTCCTTATTGCCGCTGCCTATCTTAGGACAGGAGTCCTCCCTAAACCAGCCCAACAAGTTGATTTCCGGCCATCAGACTGTACCATGGACCACCATCACTGTCGCAGATCCCACACAATCAGGAGAACTCCTCTTTCTTCTTCGTTGGTCTTAACCCCCGGCTAGTGAGCCACTCTCACTGCTCCTGCCATAATCCTTGGTGCACTTGGGCCCGTGTAGACTCAGAGATAATCCTTCCCAATCCCTGGCCTCTCGGTTCCTTGACCTCCTCTCTCCCAATGGTCTTGTCCTCTTCCCTGCCTCAGTCACCCAATCAAGTGGTCAACAAGAATAGCGGCTCCCCTCCTTAGTCCCAACTCTGAAATACCCACCTTCTAACCACCACTTATCTCTCTTGCTCAATCCCATTTACCTGATCGTTGTACCTCTTCAACACCACTGGGGTCCATGATCCACTAGTCCTGCCCCCTTACCTCTCTCTCTCACCTCACTCATGCATTCCTTTCCCTTCGGTTCCATGATCCAGCTTTATAATCACTTTTCAGCACATAGTCTCATTTCTTTGTCCCCTTTCCCTTTCATTGAACTCCCCAGCAAAAGGCCATCCTTGGTTGAACCCAGCTTCCCACTTACTCTGTCCTGCATCCTGCCCTGAAGCTAAATGGTACTGAGAAAAACGACCCTATCACGCTGAAATTTCTCACTGTAAACACGTGTGTGCATCCTAGATCTCTACTTCACGCCATCCTTTGGCCCCTCAAACTCCAATGCCCCTCCCTCCCCTCACACTCAGCTGGTGCCCTTGCATCCTAACTCACCAAAAAAAATGGAACCCTGAGAAAAGAATGTCTGTTCAGTCCAGCCACACCTGTCAATCACCCCACCTCTGTACCCTGCGTGTGCTCTCTTCTTCCAGTCACTCTCCCTGTTCCCATCGCAGGCCGATGGCTCCATGTCAGCCCCAAATCCCATCTTCTCTTGTCTAAACAAGAAAATTGCTCTGGGAGCTCTCCCCTCTCCTGCAGCATCTTTTTCTCTCTCAGGGATCATGACAACCCGAATATACATGGGCTAGGATACATTAAAGACCCTCTCTCGACCCCACAGCACCTCCAGCTACCACTCCACATTCTATAGCTTTTTACAGCAAAACCCCATGAAAGGATTGAATATGCTCTCAGCCTCCAATATTTCTCTTTCTGTTCTCTCTTGAACCCACTCCAGCCAGGCCTTCATTTGCATTGCTCTCTGAAACATCTCGTCACACTCTCCAGTGACTTCCACATTGCTAAAGCCAGTGCTCAATACTCACATGTCATCATCCTGGGAAATGAGCAGCATCTGATATGACCCATCACCCTTGCTTTCTCCCCTTGGCTTCTAGGAAAAACAAAGAAAAGAAGAGAAAAAGAAACTCTCGTGGTTTGTCTCCTAATTCATTCGATGCTGCCTAATAAGCTACCCCAAAACTAAGTAGCTTAAGACAACAAATGACATAGGTACTATCTCACAGATTGCTCTGGGAGGGGGTCAGGAATTTGGGAACATCTTAACTGGGTGTTCCTGGTTCCGAATCTCTCATGTGGTTGCAGTCAGGATGTCAGCAAGAACTGTATCATCTGAAGTCTTGCCAGTTCACTGGAAGACCACTTCCAAGACGGCTCATCCCCATGGTTGCTGGGGCAAGGCATCTGTTCCTTGTCCTGTGGCCTTTCTTCATGACATGGGAGCCAACTTCCCCAGAGCAACTGATCCCAGAGAGAGTGAGGAGGAAGCCACACGGCCTTTTATAATCTAGTCTCTGAAGTCACATACCACTAGTTCTGTCATATTGTACTCATCAGAAGCCAGTCGCCGAGTTCAGCCCACACTAACGGAGAGGGACAAGGCTCCATCTCTTGAAGGAAGGTATATCAAAGAAAGTGTGGATATATTTTAAGCCACCACAGTACGTACTCTGGCCACAAATGATTTCCAGTTCTCCCACATGCAAAATATGCTCATCCCCTCCAAAGGCCTCTGAAAGTCTCGTCCCATTACGGCATCAGCATGGGGTCCAGGAAATTGTCATTTAAATCAGGCCCAGGTATGAATAAAGCTTCAGGTGTAGCTCCTTAGGGACAGCTCCTCAATCGTAGTTCTCAGAATGAAGACCTGTGAGCTAAAGCAACAAGCCATCTGCCATACACACAACCAACGTACAATGGAGGAACAGCGTGGGAGAAGCATGATAGACATTCCTGTCCAAAAGAGGGGGATATGGGGGGCAAAAAGAGCCCTGATGCATAGAAAATATGGAATTTGGCTGGGCAAATGTTGGAAATTACTTGATTAGGACTCTGCCCTACCTTGACCTGGGAATAGTTCACCAGGGCTCCTGGCTCCTCCCTCTGGATTCTTGCTTCTGCCCTCTGAGTCATCTTCACTTTCCATGAAAGATAGCCCATGTCTACAGAGTCAAAGTTTTCTCAGACTGCTTCTTGCTAGTAGAATTTGGAGAATACCGAGGCCTTTTTATATTTTATACTCTCTCTGTTCCTTTCAGTCCAAGCTGGCAGTGTTTTGTCATTCTCTTTAAAAAAATGTGTGGGCTTTCTAAAAGGGAACCCTCAGCCACTGCTGGTGGGAAGGCAAACTGGTGAAGCCACTATGGAAAACAGTATGAGAAACAATATGAGAAAACAACAGATTTCTCGAAAAATTTAAAATAGACATACCATACGATCCAACTATCCCACTACTGGGTATTTATCCAAAGAACTTGAAATCAACAATTCAAAGATCTATGTAGCCTATGTTTATCACAGCATTATTCACAATAGCCAAGATGTGGAGCAACCCAAGTCATTCAACTGGTGACTGGATAAAGATGATGCAGAATATATATACAATGGAATACTACTCAGCCATAAAAAAGACAAAGTTGTCCCATTTGCAACAACATGGATGCACCTTGAGGGTATTATGCTAAGCGAAATAAGCCAGACAGAGAAAGACAAACACCACGAGATGTCACTCATATATGGAAGATAAACAAACACACGGATAAGGAGAACAGATTAGTGGTTGCCAGAGGGGAAGAGGGTCGGGAGAGGGCAAAAGGGGTAAAGGGGCACACGTGTAAGGTGACAGACAAAAACTAGACTGACAATTCGTGGCGAATATGATACAGTCTATACAGAAACTGATACATAATAATGTACACCTGAAATTTACATGATGTTATAAGCCATTATGACATCAATAAAATAATTTTTAGGGGCTGCCCTGGTGATGCAGTGATTAAGTTCACACACTCCACTGCAGTGGTCCAGGGTTCACCAGTTCGGATCCTGGGTGCTGACCTTCACACTGC